GGGGGGTGGCTCGTGGAGCTGGCAACAGCACTCTGTCCCCCTCACTCTTTACTCCGTTTTAGACGATGATCGCTAATATGCCGTGCGATTGGTCCACATCGCCCAGGCCGTACGGCAGTGTTGTCTCGTGTGAAGTGGGTGAGCTGGGCGGTATAGAGTCCAGGTGGGCGTGGCGTGGCGTGGCGGGGCCCGTCGGGGGGCGCGCGTGGGGCATAACGAAATGAAATAGCTTCATTAAAGTGAGAGGCGCATACAGCAGCGAGGTGACGTCATGGTCGGCCTGCTGCCGCGCGCCCGTATGCGCCCACCTGGGCCCCCGGGGAGAGAGAGAGAGAGAGAGGGAGGCAAAGCGAGAGAGAGAGAGAGAGAGAGAGAGAGTGCGAGGGGAGGGGAGGGGAGGGAGGCAGCCGGGGGATGCACATCGCTATCGTTGGGGCGGGAGGGGTTGTCGGGACTTGTCGCTCAAACGACGGCCCTCTTTACGTCCGCGCGAGACGACCGCCCCGACGGCTTTTATGACGGCCAACAGCCAACAGGTCCCGGATGGTCCCGGCGACCGCGACCCACCTCAACCAGCGCGCCGGCGCACACGGGTGTCTGTTCGACGTTCCCGTCAAACTGACGTCACCGTATGGCGTCGATTCATGATTTATTGTCGCTTTTGTAACGTCGTTGTCATGTTTTGTGAACTATCGGAATGGTGTATGAAAAGATGAAGGCGTTTTATTTAACCGTCGAGTCGGCGTTACCCCGATGCTGTTACGACATCGATTCAACGCGGCCTCGCCATCGTTTTGCAAACTCCGCGGATTTGGGCGCGCAGGCTGAGCGCCTCAAGATGGCGGCACGGCAGTGCGGCGCGCAGAGCATGTTTCTCATTAAAAAGCTTTTATTACAAACTTTAATCGAGTTGGGGCGCCGTTACCGTAGCTCTCCGGGCCGGCGGGGGTGGAGCCGCGGTGGAGACGGGGGTGGGGGGATCCACGCGGAGAGCCGCCCAGCCCGCCTCGCGAGAACTTGAAACTTTGTAATTGACTTCAAGATTCGGTGGGTGAGGGGTGTGCGTGCGCATGGCTCCTGGAAGGACAATGGGGGTGGGGGGCGGCGCCTCCCCGAGGCAGCAGCCAGGCGGCAGCAGCCCCCGCTGCAGGGGAGGGCGCCAGCCCGGGCGGCAGCCCCGCCATATATCTGTTCGGAAGGCGAAATCCAATTTCAAGGACCGTTAAGAAAATTGTTTCTTATATACAGCATGTCGTTAGCGGGGATACGGCGGGCGGCCGGGCGGAAGGACGGGCGGGCTGGCCTAGCCTCGCTCCGGGCCGCGGGGCAGATCTCGGGGACTCATCTGATGGAGCACTCCCACTTTAATAAAAAGAGGAGGCAAATTTACATAACTGCGAATGAATTCCGAAGACGTTACTTTCTGCTGGCAAGCGGTCGCGGGGCGTTTGAGATTTCTTTTTTTGAGACAGAGAGAGAGGAGTGGGGGGTGGTGAATACCGTGGACCAAGTGCTTGATCTGCTTGCCGTGGGGCTCTTGTGGTGCAGGTCGTCGACACGCGCCTCAGCTCCATCATGGACCACGCCGTCGAGGTCGACGACGGGGACGCGGCGGACGAGGCCGTCCTGGCCCACGTCGCGACCGAGGCGGCGCTGCGGGGCGGGCCGTGCGCCGTGGCGCTGCTGCGCGCGCTGCCCGATAGCAAGCTGGCCACGCTCATGGTGCTGGGCGCCATCACGCTCGCGGCCAAGGGGGCGCTCCAGGCGCCCACGGCCGTCGTCGTGCAGGGCCTGCTCCGAGCCCGCCGGCTGCTCCCCGGCTACAAGGTGGACATTTACCGTGAAAAAAAAAAAATATCTTCGTAAATTTGCAACAGACTTTATAGTTTCGATTTACAAAATATTTTGCACATTTACGACAACCTCTTGCTTGTCTATTAATTCTAGTCGACGCTCAGTAATTGTAGTTTTACAATTCCAAATTGGTATTTTGTTAACACACGACCATGAAAAATTTTCCTGTAACCCTGACAAATACTCATGACAGTGTGTGACAACTAGATTATTAATTTAAACTATTTAAGTTTCCCAATTTGGTCTCTTGCAAATTTTGGAATCTTTCAAGTTTCTAAAAGTTTCTAATGACATTTTTTAGGTGTAACCTATTTAAACATAATAATTACCATTAATAATTTACATTAACTTTTGAAGGTGGTGCGGGAGCACGGCCATACTCGCGTCGTTGAAGTATTTCGGACCTCGCCATACGAGTGGGCGTCCTTGTTCGAGAACTGACGACTGAGACGACTGCTGTGCGCAACTCAAATCGGCAGTTTTGATCACGGTACAAGCTGTTTTTTTTTTTTTTTTTTTTGAAATTCTACTTTGTTGTCCCTTTATTCGTTGTGTGTGCGTTGCAGTGTTCAGGCGGTTCAAGTTGTTGCGCAGTGTGTCCCGCTGCGCCACAGGGTTGTCCCCTCTCACCCCTTCCGCCCCTTCCCTTTCTCCGCCGCATTCTCCCCCGGTTCCTTTCTTTTCCTCTCGCCGTGGATCTTCCCCTCCCTCTCCTCCCTTCTCTGTTTCTCTCCTCCTTACCCCCTCCCCCCCCCC